CCTCGATATGCTAGGGCAGTCAGAAGTTCATCCATGGTGCCTAGTTCCTACTGCATTTGGCCCATCACAGCATATTAAGAGCTGAGATGGTGATGATTAATTTTAGGTGTCAACTTGACTAGATTAAAGAATACCTGAGAGAAATGTTAAAGCATTATTTCTGGGTGTGTATGTGAGGGTGTTTCCAGAGGAGACTGGTGTGTGAGTTGTTGGATTGAGTGGGGAAGATCCACCGTTAGTGTATGCGGGCACTGTCCAACTGGCTGGGGGTCTGGATAGAATTAAAAAGGAAAAGACAAATTCACCCTCCCTCTTTCTGGAAGTGGGATATTCTTCTTCTTCTGCTCTTGGACATCAGAACTCCTGGCTCTCCAGCCTTTGGACTCCAAGACCTGCACTTGTGTTCCCGCAGGTTCTCAAGCCTTTGGCTTGGACTGACAATTACACCATCAGCTTCTCTGGCTGTGAGGTTTTCAAACTTGGACTGAGCCACACTGCCAGCATCCCAGGATCTCAAGTTTGCAGTCAGCCTACCGTGAAACTTCTCAGACTCCATGATCGCATGAGCCAATCCTAACAAATCCCCTTTGATATCTTTATAGATGTATATCTATCTCTGTGTTCTATTGGTTTCTGTCCCTCTGGAGAACCCTGAAAGTAATTCAGAGGCCAAATCGATTTGCTGGAGTGCTGAGGGCTGGGGAGATGCCTAAGCCTCAGGAGCTCCAAGGACAAGAAGAGCCTTGTCTCATTGGTCTACATGTCTACGTGTCTTCCAGCCTTGCAGGGAATCCCCTCAAGGAGGGGCCAGCTGATTTACATAATACAAACTGGCAGAATTTAATATGACATCTCCACAGATGTAGTCTTCCTTTAAATTAAAGGCACCAATAACTGTTTCTGGTCAAGCAGCTCACTGCATTTCAGCGTGAAGCAGTTTGGTTGTTACATTCAATTTAAACATCTTGAAATTGAGATTTCTAAGTCATGTGTATTTTTTTACATTTCATATTTTTCACAATGTACTGAGCCCATTTGCTTTCACTTTCTCAAGTGTTTAAAAGTGCAATATGTTTTAATAAAAATCACAAATTTGCCAGTGCCCTATGTCAGGCTCCTTTAAATCTGCTATAATCATTCCTTTGGGCTAAGCATTCTTCTCTGCTCATGTACTTCTAACCTACAATCACTCTGAAGACCAATACACAATTTAAAGGCCTTGAGGTTCTGAATCAGAATATGCAGTTTGCTGTGTGGCTCCAGCTCAGTGCAAATTTTTCCACTATTTTGCCCAGAAAACAGATGCCCTTAGTAGCCTCATCAAGAAGCCCCGTTATTACTGTGACTCTCGGTGTTGGAACAAAATGCATCCACAGTTTCCTCTGACTTCTAGAAGAAGAGTTTAAAGTAGCTGCCTCTGAAACTGTTTTAAAATTGTAGCTTGTATAAGCATTCGGCGAACAAAGCACTCTTTCTCCAAAAAGGTAAGTGCCAGCCATTTGCTGTCCTCCGGCTGTTCCCTGAGCATCACCAGGAACAGGAAAATGTTCTCATCCATGGCTTAGTAAGTCTCTTAAAGCAACCTCTCCTCTGAAGAACAGGGCACATAGAACCAACTAATCATGGTAGTAGGAGACTTAGGAGCCAAGGGATTAGTAAGTAAGGAAGGCAGAGTCCCTATTTGTTATGAAAAGACAATTCAGTAAAAGCAGAGATATTCTGGGTTCTGACCCACCTCTATCCTCTGCTAATATTAACAAGGCAGTCACTCTCTTTAAGCCCCAGCTTTTTCACCAGTAAAATGATGGGTCAAATCTTGCCCCCTGCCTTAATAGTCTGCTAAGAGGATAAATCCATGTTGGTAGAGCAATTTGAGGTAAGCTCAAAATATAATCAGATTATCTAGAAGCCTACATAATGCTTAGTTATAAGCTACATTCATAAATCTCTCAAAATCTCCAAGGGAGGGGCACAGTTTACATATTTAGAGTCAACCCAGTGAATAAAAAGGGGTAGCAGGGACATAGGTATCTAAGACAGAAGGGGCTCCATTTAGAACTCATGACTAAAGCATTTCATTCAACTTCTGATTTCATTTCCTTATCAATAAACTGAGGACCACAACCCCCACCCTATCTACCTTCCAGGATTATTGTAAGGACCCAAATCAGAACGTAATAAGGGAGATGAAAGCACATGGTTAACAAAGCAAAGAGAAATAGATACTTTAAAAGCCTTAGATACAAATAAAACATCATTATAATCTAGTTTTTTAATCTACAAACCAGAACTTTGGTCTTGGAGTTAACAGTATTAATAGTTGGGGCTACTTCAGCTCTAAGACAGAGTGTCCAGCAGAAGGGTTAGAGAGGAAGCTGACGGGAGCCATGTACCTGATGGTGGTGCCTTGCAGACGGTCTATCTTCTTGTTGAGCTCTGCAATGACGCTGTGGAGCTCTGTGATGCGCTCCTCATAGCGAAGCGTTGTTCGCTCCTGGACATCCTCATGCTCTCTCATGAGGTGGGACTGCTCGCACTAAGAATAAGGGAAAAGGACAGAAGTGCTGATGAATTCATGCACCTATAGGTGGGTGATTCCAAGCTTCGGGGCCTCAAACCATTACAACTGCCAACGCTGAGTATGCTCCAACTAAAATGTATGTCAACCCATTGGCTGACAATCCCAGGAAACAAATCCATGGCTGGATTTTATAATTCCCCTGGTGGATACTAGAGTGCCTTTCTAACACTTTCTCTCTTTGGCAAACAGTCCCTCTGCCATTACATACTGTCCAAGTACCCTGCTTTCCCCTAGCCAAGAAACAGTCAAGTGGTCCAAGCTAGATGCAGCAGACACCTTCTGCAGAGAATTTCAATCTTGAGCAAATGGATACAAGGCTGCAGGGAGTTGATTCAGAGAGCCTTGAAGAGCCTCTTATTTCCTGCTACCTACAGCTTCCTTCACAAGTTCCTTTACGGCTGTTCATTTCCCCTTTTTACCAATTCACTCCTTCTTTGCTGAAGTTTGTCAGGGACTGTTTCAGCAATTTTTTTCAACCCAATAATCCTAAATGGTATGATCCACCTTCTTATCTGGCTGGATTATCTGCAAATTTAATGCTTTCCAATATCCTTGTCTCCCAGACTGTAAGCTCCTGGAAGGCAGGAAGTAGGTGTTTTCATTATTTAGCCCAGCACTGGTAAATGGCTTGGTTCACCGTGGGTGATCTAGAAGTGTCATGGAATGAACAGATGAAGATGAACTGCCGTCATGAAAATTGCTTGGCAGAAATGCTGATAAAAGAGGCAGAGGAGCTTCCCTTGCTCAGCGTTTCATGGACTAAGAGGCAGCAGAGTTACAGAAACATTTCTGTAGCCAGTTTAAATCCAGAGGAAACTGTTCACCTCTTTTACTTCTCTCTACGCCTCTCAATCCTGACCAATCACTGTTCATAATAACTCATTTACATAATATTAAAATATTCCTCAGTGATGGAACAAGTAGTCTAGCTTGTGTCCTTGTCTATTATATTCATCTGTAATTAATTTCCTGTCAGCAGAGGAACTTTAATTTCACCTTCAACAAGGTTTTCTTAGTGACAAAAGCCATATGTGCTTTCCAGCTCTGCAGGTTTGCACCTCCAGGCCTGGTGGCAGGCAGGGAAAGAGAAGGACTTCTCACCCACTACCTCCCCTGTCCCTCCCTAAACTGGCTAAGTTTCCAAAGGCATAACCCAGGGCAGGGAGAAAAGGCTTTCAACGATAAACTGAACATTATGTGCCTAACTCAAGACTGAAATAGAAGTACTCAACAAAGAAGTCTGACAAATATATTGGTATCAGTCATGATAGGGCCCGCACCTCAACAAGAGCTGGATCAGTATTTATGTAACTTCTTGCGGGTTACCTCAGAGCTCCAGAAACAAGATTGGAGGCAACAAGATTGTTGAATGCTTAGTCCTAGAGGGATAGTTACTTTCAGGAAACTACTCCTGCAAACTACTGTTCTTAGTGACAACCTGAAACACCAAATAACCTCCACTCAAGGTCAAGCACACAAAAAATAAGTGGGAACAGAGGCAAGGATCAAGGTCAAGTGAAAGGCACATCTAGTGGAAGCTTTCCTAAACAGATAACCAGCCACAGACAGTCTTTCCATGAAGCGAGGCCTTTCTCATCCATGGTCCTACATCCTTAAAGAACAAGAAGTCCACAAAATGACAGGATCTCAAAGGCAATTTCTATCAATAAATGAAAGAGCTTCATATTTCTCGGGAACAAACTAAGAACAGAACACTGTTCCTCTCAGACCTGCAGCACATCTACGAGCTCCTGCTATTAGCCTCTCTCTATTCCCAACCTCAAAGTGTGTGTGTGTTCGTGTTGTGTGAACATGTGCAGATGTAGTGGACGCTCTCATGCAGGTCACCAGTTCCAGATCTTAGTGTGTCCGTAGGATAAAATTCTGTCTCTGGGGCTGGGCTTGGTGACTCACACCTGTAATCCCAGCACTTTGGGAAGCCAAAGCTGGCAGATCACCTGAGGTTGGGAGTTCAAGACCGGCCTGACCAACATGGAGAAACTCAGTCTCCACTAAAAATGCAAAATTAACTCGCGTGGTGGGGCATGCCTGTAATCCCAGCTACTCAGGAGGCTGAAGCAGGACAATCGCTTGAACCTGGGAGGTGGAAGTTACAGTGAGCTGAGATCGTGCCACTGCACTCCAGCTTGGGCAACAAGAGTGAAACTCCATCTCAAAATTAAAAAAAAAAAAAGTCTCTGACCTGGATCTCGTCCATGCTGTGACTCCTAAGGTGCCAAGTTGCTAGTTCCTCCTCTCTGGTTTTCCACATTCAGTTCTCTAGGGCTACAAATTACTGTGAAACATTTCTACTTACACACTCAATGAACTCTCACTTTCCCTTACTTCCCCACTCATTCTTCCTTCTTTTAAGCCAACAGGTCACTACCACCACCTGGGCCG